GTAACTTTTACTCTCGCTGTAGTATTGTTGCCGCCGCCGCCATGTCGTGGAGATGCTGTGTGTTTCGTTGCGAAAGCCAAACTACTTTCCAAAAGAAGACACAACTAGAAATCAGTGGTTAAGTTGTATATACAACACTGTTCCAGAACAGTTCAACCCAAATATTCAGATGTGTGCAGCACATTTTACGGAGGAAAGTTTCCTGAAGATGGTAAGGGGCGTAACATTTCCGTCACACGCTTGAGGTATTCGGCCAATCACAATGCACTAGATAGCTGGCCAATCAGAGCACACAGTGCTTTTCAGAACGATGAGCTTTTCAGAAAGGCGGGGCATAGAGGAGCAACAATGATGTACAGTATGTGGAAAATAATGTGTTTTTTTAACCTTAAACCGCGTAAACACATTGCATTACACCAAATACACAAAATAATGTTTTTTTTTTATATTTTAACATGCTTCAATAATCTGGCCCTTACAGCAGTGACATATAGGAGGAAATTCTGCATCCACTGTTAAAGGTTTTGTTGAAATAAATGGAATTCCAAAATGTAAAAACCGAGAGTGCCACATACCATATCCCTCTCTTTCCATTAGAACAGCCAATTACAGAGTAGACGTCTACAAACAGTCAAAAATAACACTGTAAACACTCAATCTCTCCCCAAGTCATTTGAATTGAGAGTTTAATAAGTATTCCAACTACCATAGACAGCCAAGAAAGCCATGAAGTCACAATTCTACAGAATATTCCATTTCCCAAACAAGAATCTATGCATGGCTGTCAAAATGTTAAAGGTCTTTCAAATTCTCAGAAGAAATCTTAGACCACTTTCTGAAAACACAAAAATGAGTTCTTAGAAGAAATCTGGAATGTCTACAATATGACTAAAATGAACATTGCCACTGACCAATTCTTCAATGCCAAAACCTCTTCATTTTAACTAAATTAAAAAATACCATTTAACCATCCAAACTTCTTTAAATACTAGCCAAGAATGTAACAGGAGAGATTATATGAGAGCATATATATATATCAAACTAACATCCTAACATCATGCATTGCTTCAACCATCTTGAAGTATCTCTCATTATGGCAGATATGAAAGCATGTAACTACAAGCAAGGAAGATAACATAATGTTGTACTGTAGTTGTCAGTTCCAGACACAACTGAATGATTTTGTTCTTGGTGGTGGTGAAATCACTGATCTCCGTCAATGGAGTTCTGCAGACAGAGGGAACAAAGGTTAAAAGACATTACAGCATTCACACTGTATAAAAGATCAAATTAATACAAGGACAGGACAACAAACTCCTTGTGAAGGGTTTTCTGATGTGGCCTACAATAGCAAGAACTTTATTTCCATCACTGCGTGTCTGGAGTTTGAGTCTGTGGTCATAAAAACTGCAGCTGGAATTAAACACGTTACCATGTCAACTCCCTATGAAACCATTAAGCACAGTCAGTTTCCATTTCTTTTTTTCCCAGACAGATCAGAACAATCACACCATGTAACTTGAGAAGATATCGCTGAATTTTTATGTGGTTAAGGCATAATAATAAGCGTAATAAAAGCACCAGTAGCTTAGACTTTAAAGGAGTGTTCTGAGTTCAAAGCCGACATCATTTGTCATAATATCCACATAAAATTGTGGTTACAGTAAGGCACTTGAAAATCACAGTAAACAGGGCCTTGAACTTCAAGGGTTTAAAAGCAGAAATATGAAGCTTGTATATATTTGTTAAAACACATTTCGTTCAATGTTTTTCAGAAAGAAAAAAAAGATGAAGTTGTGTTTTTGTGGTTGGACTATTGTTCTAGGTGGATGAACTTATTAAATCCCAACATATTTCCTGTGTTGGGAATTGTCTCTATGTAAGCAGTCGCTTTCTGGTTTTCTTGATATATATATTGGATGTACATTTTCAATTTGATTAAATTCGTGTGTTCTATGTATTGTGTGATAAGTACCTTAGTTAGCTTAATAACATGCTTTGTCAAACCAATACTAGCAAGGTGTACCTAATAAAGTGGCCAGTGAGTGTATATAAGGACTGAATTACTGCTACGGCCGCATTGAGATGCCTCTGAAAATGCAAGACGCTGGGACAATAGCCACAATTTTGATTTCTCCCATTTATATATATTTATAAGTGGACCGCCTCTGTTATACAGTCTCTAGTCAACTCAAATGGAATTGTGTGAGGGACATTTGCGTGGTTTGTGGAGTAGCTGCCTGGCTGATTTTTCGGATTTGTGAATTAAACAGACTATTGCAGTACAGTTTACAAATACTATTTCAGTCTTTCTACTTCCATATTTCTTGTTTATTTATAATGTTACTTGCCATTTCCTTGTAATTATTTGTGAATTTACTAGCAGTTTCTGAGTGTGAACTGTTTCAAAGTAAATCCTACACCAAATTGAAACAGCTTTTTTGTTCACAAAAAATCTCTCCTTCATGAGAAAGATATGGTTAGCTGTGCACAGAGGGGTTTGGAAAGAAAGCCAGATTGTATCTGGTTTCAACTGTCTGGAAAAATCTAAGTGCTGCTCATGCAAGTCTAAGTTTGTACTTTGCAGTGAAATATATGATCTTACACAGGGTTAACATCAGCTTTAAGAGTAAAAACCCCTTATAAATCATCTGTGCTCAACACACCATAGCCCTTCACATGCTATGCGTCCCCATTACATAAATAAAGAAGCAACAGAAACAGAAATAAGCAATAGAAATATGTAAAGAAATTATGAATGGGGATGTTTGTACCTGTCCAGCCATGCCAGGAGACTTTTGGCTGCTCCAATAAGTTCAACCACAGAGGACAGGAATTCATTTGGGAGCTTGCTAGACGTGTTGCTTTCATACGTAGGGCTCTTCCTTCGTTCTGATGTTGCAGTGTGAAGGCTGCTGGTCACAGCTCTCATCTTCAGCACCAGGTTCTTCAAGTTATCTGTCTCCACACCATAGTTCTGAGGAAGAAGTAGAATTATATGTAAATTATATATTACTGTAAAACCCAAAGCATACTTTGGTTTTTACACATACGCTAGGGTATACATACGGTACGTGTGATGTACTGTATATGTGGCAACGACAGCACTCAACACTGTTTGGAGAGGATTAGGTGCATACACACAGAATGCATTCATGTATTGAAACAGTTGACACAACACAACTGACAGAATGGAACAGAATACAGGGACATGAGATATGATTTTGAAAAATGTTTTAACGTAATCTGTCTTAAATACAGTATGTGAGATGCTGAAAAAACAGCAAGGCACAAAGCAAAGGTGTACATCTGATACACTGACCAACAACTGTTCATTTTTTATCTTTTAGTTTAAAGAGTTGGTGATTCCCCTGACTGAGGGAGCTTGCTAGACGTGTTGCTTGCATACGTAGGGCTCTTCCTTCGTTCTGATGTTGCAGTGTGAAGGCTGCTGGTCACAGCTTTCATCTTCAGCACCAGGTTCTTCAAGTTATCTGTCTCCACACCATAGTTCTGAGGAATAAGTAGAATTATATATTTACTGTAAATTATATATTACTGTAAAACCCAAAGCATACTTTGGTTTTTACACATACGCTAGGGTATACATACGGTACGTGTGATGTACTGTATATGTGGCAACGACAGCACTCAACACTGTTTGGAGAGGATTAGGTGCATACACACAGAATGCATTCATGTATTGAAACAGTTGACACAACACAACTGACAGAATGGAACAGAATACAGGGACATGAGATATGATTTTGAAAAATGTTTTAACGTAATCTGTCTTAAATACAGTATGTGAGATGCTGAAAAAACAGCAAGGCACAAAGCAAAGGTGTACATCTGATACACTGACCAACAACTGTTCATTTTTTATCTTTTAGTTTAAAGAGTTGGTGATTCCCCTGACTGAGAGCGCAACAGTCCCCCCACCTACAACCCCTGCCGGACCTGAGACTCGAACCCGCGACCTTTGGGTTACAAGTCCGTCTCTCTAACCATTAGACAGTTTTATAACATATAACACAGACAGTCATATAACACATGTGTTTTAACTCCCCTAGGTGCTTTGAGGGGTTTTATTTATCGAAAGATAGGGTTACTTACACCTGACAGGGATTGTAGGAAATGAGAGATTGGTTTCCTCCATCATGGCATAGACAAATCTCACAGTGGATATTCCCACAGATGGGGCAGTAATTTGTTTCCTGTTCAGCATGAAATAGACTTCAGGAGACCCCATCAGGGAGAGATCTGGAGTGCTGGTAACACTAACACGTAGCACTTTCTGCCTTCAATACGTGGCCTGAGTGTCTTTAATATTATTTCCAGAGCTATGAGACAATAGGAGACTTTTTCCATCAAAGAGGCTGCTGTGATTTGGGGACAAAACAGATAAATATGGTTTGGGGGGATGATCTCGAAAAATCAATAAGTGTCTCATTCTAAATCATGAATTCTACAAGAATCCTTACTGTGATGCACTTCACATAATGTTAATTGACATCTTAGATTCTGTCTGTATATTGCTTTATTATTTTATCTGAAGATTTCATACTTTCATATTGATCCACTGCTCTCTGGAATAATTGATCAATTGATCAATCAGGTACTCTGTGGTCAAGTATTTGGAATAGTGCCTATAAAATTACTTATACTTTTAAAAATAATGGTTCTTTATTGGTATATATATATGGTTCTATGAAGAACTTTTGACATTCATGGAACCATTGCACAAAAGATTCTTTATAGTAGATTTTTTTTAAATGTTACTAAATTGTTCTTCACACTAAGAGAAAAAAAAAATTCTTTAGGGACCCAAAAAAGGTTCTTGATTTTTAAGAATATAACTGACTGTTGTTCCATGTTGATATGCTCTCCTTCTTCTCACATAATGACAATTTCAACTCAGTTTTTAAATATGAACCTACAAAACAACAAAAAGTTAAAAACTGAGGATTTGTGGCCACTGAATCCTTTTGATCCTAAGGGTCTAGGCCGTATTATAGCATTCAGTGCTGGACACTGGGATGTATTGTATCATTTACAAGCATTGACACGACCATCTGTCAAAGCAACCAAGAACTTCTAAGCATGTCCATGTGTTCATTTCAGGTCCTTGTATTTTCTACCCCCTACAGACACCAAAGTCTGTCTGAGCCTAGTTATCTGTCATGTAATGATTTCCTTGTTTCCTTTTTTAAAACACATGCTGTTCTATTCGGTAAACAGCATTATTATTCCAAAAACCAAGTGCACATTACATGTTTTTCTCAAATGTGTGGATGAATGCTCAAATAGTATGTGACTAACTACCTATTTGTTTTTAAATTAGCAGGTCAACGGAAGAAAATAGTAATGTTGATTGATCAATATTTGTGGGCCAGGAAAAGCCTTTAGAAAATATTAATAAAAGGACTGCATACAGTCAGTCATACAATTATACATGAAGATCTATGGGATATTGCTCAAAGAGATGTTTAAATAGAGTGCTGAAATTTACTTTACACTCCTTACACCGTGTCTACACCGGACATGACAGTTGTCGTGTCGCACCGTGCCGCGCTGCAACAGCTTGAGGCTGTCTATACTGGATGTGACAAAGCAAAAATTTGAACTTTGTATCAGTATGTCATAAATAGAACGAGGCATCAGTTTACTGTTGGGGATTTGTCGTGTTGCGCCGCATCCAGTGTAGACAGCATCACTGATTATAATGGTTTCTATAGTATTTTGTCAGTCGGGTGATTCCCCTGACTGAGAGCGCAGTAAATTCAATTTTTAATTGAGCTGATTATTGCTTCAGCAGTGAAACTTTTTATGGTTGCATTCCACACCTATGTGCACATGCCACCACCTGATGGATATGAACAACACAAGTTTGCATTCCACTGCTCCAGCTTTTTTGTTTGCTTGCATGCCACTGATTTACAACACTTGTTTGATTTATATACAAAACTTTCTGCTTGACTTGCCTCAGTACAATTTGTTTGTAGTAGACAAATTCTATCCGCCTCTGGCATGCAATGAATGAAGGCTTGTCCAGTAGACGCAGCAAAAAGCAAAGAGACGGTATTGCACACAGTGCAATTTTATCCATGCTTAGAAGTACCATCCTTGATGTATCAAATTCAACACCCCTTGCTCAAGTGTTTCATGATGTAAAGCAATTGGACTGTTTAAAATTTCACAGCCCTATTTAGACTTTAAAATTATTTGGCATAATGTGTGCTGCCTTTAGAAAATATTAATAAAAGGACTGCATACAGTCAGTCATACAATTATACATGAAGATCTATGGGATATTGCTCAAAGAGATGTTTAAATAGAGTGCTGAAATTTACTTTACACTCCTTACACCGTGTCTACACCGGACATGACAGTTGTCGTGTCGCACCGTGCCGCGCTGCAACAGCTTGAGGCTGTCTATACTGGATGTGACAAAGCAAAAATTTGAACTTTGTATCAGTATGTCATAAATAGAACGAGGCATCAGTTTACTGTTGGGGATTTGTCGTGTTGCGCCGCATCCAGTGTAGACAGCATCACTGATTATAATGGTTTCTATAGTATTTTGTCAGTCGCGCCACGCCGTGCCGCTTGCGTCAAGTGTAGACACGGTGTTATGTTAGGACTCCAAGAGATCTCAACAGTGTCTGTATAAAATAACAATAGTAATGTAGAAACTAGGGATGTCCCGATCAGGTTTTTTGAGTCCCCGATCCGAGTTACTGAACATTGAGTATCTGCCGATACAGAGTCCCGATCCAATACTTAATGTAGCGCTTTACAATACTGGTTGTGTCAAAGCAGCTACAGTGTCAAACAGGAAAATAGTTTGGTAATAATGCAAGAAGACAATAACAGTCATTTTTCCAGATACTTGCATAAAGTAATGTATGTTTGGTGCACAGTTCAAGTACATTAAAGTTATTAAAATCAATCCAATGTATGCAGAGTTGTGCAGAGAGTAAAATAAATATACAGTATATATGATGTATGTTTATGTGTATATATATATATATTACAGGGTACACTCTCTTTATATGCACACAGTGTATACATGTTACAATGGTAGACTTTATAGACATATTGTGTGTTCACAATTATGAATATGGGACTACTGATATAAACTTCTTGTATTTTATATGTTCAATTAGCAGAATAATTGCAACATAAAGTGGAGATAAGGTTAGAAAGCATGAAGCTCACGGTGTCAGAATGCCAGTCTGTCAATCAAGTCTAAATCAAGATGCAATCCTTAGCAATGCGTTATAACAACGACGTCTCAGAAAGTCTGATGGCGGATAAAAGTAAACAATAAATGAATGAGTGATCGTTACAAAAGTGCACATCAAATACACTAAACAGGGAATCTCAAACATGTATGACGTGCTAGAACAGACCTCACTGTTTCTCGCACGCACATTTGAGCGTCTTCTTTTTAGCGATGTGCCGGCTCTAAGAGCCGATTCTTTGTAGCGAACGAGAAGAGCCGACTCCCGTCGAGGAGAACCGAATCTTCAGCCGGAGCCTTCAATTTTAGCCCAATTTAGCAATTGTGAATGGCTTGTGTGTTGGTACGCAATTTTTTTATTCAGTGTTTTCATAAAAGCCTTACTTTTATGCATTTTTTTTGTTACAAAAAAAATAAAAATACACATGCGGCTATTCACATGGGAGGATAGACTAGGATCATACCATTACGTGAAAGAAGGAAGGGGGACACACACTCCGAAGACAGCGAGTGTAGTGGTAAAGGCCAGGTAAACAGAGCGACAGAGAGGGGGTCTTCTCAAAAACAGGACAAATAATCACAGAGAGGAGAAATCGCATCAGCACACCCAAGCTGAGGCATCTGATATTTCTGAATGCCAACCTGCACTAAAGACTAAAGTTTCTTAATGTTAAGACTTTTGCTTTTATTTATTTGATTTGTTTGCTGTGGTTCTGTGTTCAATTGTTCAATTAAAGTTGTATTGAAATATTAAATAATAGTAACTGTATTTTTTGCAACGAAAAAATGCATAAAAATAAGGCTATTATAAAAACACTGAATAAAAAATTGCTTACCAACACACAAACCATTCACAATTGCTAAATTGGGCTAAAATAGAAGGCTCCGAGTGATACTAAATAAAGAGCCATTTGGGAGCCGTAAGAGCCAGCTCTTCTAAGGGAGCTGAGCCAAAAGAGCCGAATCTTTGAAAAGAGCCGGACTTCCCATCACCTTTTAATGGCTGTTGGCAAACCCACTTAACAACACATACCACCTCCTACTGCACAACACCGGCATGACAACTGAAATAAAATAAGGATCAGGCTGAGGAGAGCCGATACCGATTAGTTAAAAAATGCTTGATCGGCCCCAATCCCGATCCTTGAGATCGGCTCGGGACATCCCTAGTAGAAACTGATTTACTATTTTTCCCTTAATATAATTATTTGTTTCTCTGACCAAATTGGGTTATTATCGTTAACTAAAATTAAAACTAAAACCATATAAACTAACTAACTAAATAAATAAAAATGAACTAAAACTGAAATAAAGGTTTAGGACTAATTTTATAGTTTAATAGAACTATCAAATTAATTCTTCTTGAAAGCAAGAACACGTCCTATGTGAACGCTGCTTCATTCTGTGTTGTCTGCTCTCAGTAAGTGTGGTTTGGCAAAATGTATTGACTGTAATAGCAGCTTTACTAGGGCTTGTGCTGAGTGTGGACTGGCAAAATATCCTGGCACTTCAGGCCTGAAAATGCTCCAGTGGTAGTAAATGTTGTGAGGGGGAGTGATTCATTTTGTTCGTTTTTTCATTTGATAAAATGTACTTATTGTGAACATACACAAAACTCTTGGAGAGCCAAATTTAGCTTTTATTAAAGTTTATTAGTTTAGTTTAGATGAAGGGGTAGGTTTAAGGCTAAGTTTAGGTTTAGGATCAACACTGTAATATAATAACATTGTGATATAATTACATGTAAGTTTAAGTACAATGTAACAGTATAGTATATGCACACAATAAGGACATTGTATCAAATGCTTGTTTTTCTTTTTTAATGTACAATATATACATAGTAGTAAAAGAAACCTAATATAAAGCTATTTGGTAAGTAAAGCTTAAATTAGCAGTCCTTATATATTTGCGACAGTAAATATGTCATAATTAGGTCATTAATTTAGAGCCACAACAAATGTGAATAAGAACACTAACCAGAGCACAGAGGAGATCTACAGCCTCTAAAACCAGTTCCTGGTGGCCAATGCGGACAATGCCCAGTTCCTCAAGGTCCTGATGTGAGATCTTCAGTAGCTGTTCTCCATTAATCTTTTCTCTCTCAAAGTTGTGCACATACGGTTGTAGGCTGTCATCCAGACCTAAACATGAAAAGAGCAAAGAGAAAATAAAAGAAATTAATACTTGTACTGAACAAGGATGCATTAAATTGATCAAAAGTGACAGTAAATGCATAATGTTACCAAAAGATTTCTATTCCAAATAAATGCTGCTTTGTTTTTTTTAAACTTTCGATTCATTAAAGAAATCTGAGAAAGAAAAAAAAAAAACATATTACAGTTCCCTCAAAAAACTATTAAAGGCTGGAAAACATTACATGACTTTTAAAATCTAAAAAAATCAGGGCAAAATTCTGTAGTGTATTCCAGCCTTAAAGGAATAGTTCACATCCAGAATAAACATTTCCTGATAATTTACTCACCCCCATGTCATCCAAGATGTTCATGTCTTTCTGTCTTCAATAGCAAAGAAATTAAGGTTTTTGAGGAAAACATTCCAGGATTTTTCTTCATATAATGGACTTCAATGGTGGCCAACGGATCCAACAGAACGGTCAAAATTGCAGTTTCAATGCAGCTTCAAAGGACTCTACACAATCCCATCTGAGGAATAGGGGTCTTATCTAGCGAAACGATCGGTCATTTTCTAAAAAAAAAAAATTATATACTTTTTTAACCACAAATGCACATCTTTCACTAGCTCCGCGATGCGTGTCCGCAAATTCACGCATGATGTAATCACGTTGGAAAGGTCACGCATGGTTAGCTCTTCATCTGTATACGCCGGTTCAGAAAGGTAGGGTAGGGCGGAAAAACTCATTTTCTCCTTCAACTTTAAATGTCCGACATCGTTGTTTTACCTTTTATTGTAAAGGGCATTTTACTTTCTTTGCACGTTCGCGTTGTAAACACTGGGTTGGTACTTCCGCCTACGTCCTACGTGTGACCTTTCCAACATGACTACGTAATGCGTGAAGTTGAGCTAGTGCAAGACGAGCATTTGTGGTTAAAAAGTATGTACATTTGTAACAGACACATTCTGGGGACACCAGAGACTTATATTACATATTGTAAAAAGGGGCATAATAGGTCACCTTTAAGAAAATGACAGATCGTTTCGCTAGATAAGACCTTATACCTCTGCTGGGATGAAGCTGCATTGAAAATGCAATTTGGACCTTTAACTCGTTGTCCACCACATGGAGAAAAATCCTGGAATGTTTTCCTCAAAAACCATAATTTCTTTGCAACTGAAGAAAGAAAGACATGAACATCTTGGATGGCATGGGGGTGAGTAAATTTTCAGGACATTTTTATTCTGGAAGTGAACTAATCCTTTAAGAAGCACAACTGTTTTCAACATTGATAATAATCAGAAATGTTTTTTTTGAGCAGCAAATCAGAGTATTAGAATGATTTCTGAAGGATCATGTGACACTGAAGACTGGAGTAATGATGTTGAAAATGTAGCTTTGCATCACAGGAATAAATCACATTTGAAAACATATTCAAATAGAAAAACGTTCTTTTAAATTGTAATAATATTTCACAATATTACAGTTTTTACAGTATTTTTGATCAAATAAATGCAGTTTGGTGAGCATAAGACTTTTTTTTCCCCCCAAAAACATAAAAAAATGATCTTACCAACCCAAAACTTTTGAACAGTCGAATATGTAAAATAAATACATAATACATGTAGGAACAAAGCACTTCTCTAGAAACGTGCTTCCTTTCTGCACTGCAACAGGTGTGTATAGAGCTTCCAGACACCATAAACATCATGTTGTTTGCACCTGCCTGAGTGTGTACATGTGTGTGTCAAGCTGGTTAAACAATTGACATGTTTTGTTGTTTTTGCAAAGGGTCGACTATAATTACAGCAAACCTACTAACTCACAGAATGTACACCTCAAAGGAAACTAATGTCAGCAGACTGGTTTAGCTGGATTCTTCAGGGCTTTGTTATGCCTTGCTCAGTTTCTTTACACATAGATCTGTTTGGAAACGCTGATGTATTTCCCTGCTTCTGTTTCCTTTTGATGTAAAGCACGTGAAACTCGGTTACAAGGATTTGCTGAGCTAGCTAGGAACTTACGTCGGACTCTTGACATGTTGACAAGACCGTCCTACACCCACCCAGATACACAATGCACTCAGTCACCCAGGCTGCACCAGCAGTGAAGGATGGTCCTGTGGGACGAGGGGGATGGGTGTTCACCCGGTCAAAGGCACTACAGAAAGAGCAGCTGCGAAGGTCTGGCCTGATGCCCTCAGACTCAACGGCTTGACAGGCCAGACAAAATCAGTGACCTTAAAATTCAATACACAGGCCACCTCCATTTATCTTTGGAAAACTCAAACAAAGTTGAGGCTTTGCTATATCAGTGAACAATTCCTTTGAAGAAAGCTGGTAACCCAAACTCTTTTGGTTACCATTGTCATCCATTGTATGAAAAAGAAAGTCATACACTGCAAAAATGCTTTTCTAGCTTAGATCTTTTGTCTTGTTTCCAGCCAAAATATCTAAAAATTCTTAAATCAAAAAGGATTTTCTAGACAAGTAAAAATTATTCTGACAAGCAAAATAATCTGCCAATGGGATAAACAAAATAATCTTATTTCAAACAGAAAACAAGATTATTTTGTTTACCCCATTGGCATATTATTTAGCTTGTTTCAAGCAAAAACTCACTTAATTTTGACTTGTTTTTTCTGAAAACAAGACAATAATTTTTACTTGTCTAGAGAATCCTTTTTGATTTAAGAATTTTTAGATATTTTGGCTGGAAACAAGACGAAAAATCGAAGCTATAAAAGCATTTTTTGCAGTGTACAGGTTTGAAACAACATGATGGTGAATAAATGATGACAGAATTTTCATTTTTGGGTGAACTATCCCGTTTATATGTAATTTCATAATTCTATTGTTTCATGGTTAAAGTGTACTGCTGAATGTACTGACAAGCATTTATGGTGAACTAAAATATATTTTAATGTAAATTCTATTGAATCTTGTATGTTGTATTCAAATATATTTATAATTACACATTTGTAATGATGAAGTTGTATATTAACTTTAAATGCAATATCGAATAACATGCTACAGTAAAATTATCATCAGTCTTTTACACGTGCTTTAGTGTGTTAGTAAACACATCAAAATAAGTTTGCTTTTGTAAAGCATGACAAAAGATAAAAAAAATAATGATTTAAAATGTACTTTAATTTGACATTATTACAATGCACTTAACTACTTAAGTGTGTTAAGAAACATGGTCATGAAAGTGTCTCACTTTAAGCACTCCAGTAATATTAGATATCATTAAGTACTTCTTCTTTTTTCATTTTATGATTTAAAATACAATACAAGTGTACATTCAGTACAGTTAAGCGCACTTCCTTTTCACAAGGGTTAATAATGACAATGGACATAAACTGCTAGAAAACAGTGGCATAGTGTTTCAGTTAGAATTGTTGATACTAATACCAGTGAAATTTCACAGCAAACACTACTAGGATATTGAATAAAGTCTTTCAAATAAACAAGTAAATGTTAATATTTAAATAAATACAAAAATATGAACTAATTAAATCACAATGGTATGTAGCCATAAAAGTATTTGTAAATTAATAAAGCTCCAGACAAGCTTTTAAGTAATTGTTCAAGTAAACAGTAATAAAGAACCAGGAAATTAATTAAGAATTAAGGATGTAAATATTTTAAAGCTCTGTGATTCTTAATAAACCATAAACAAAACAATCTGGTAATTTGCAGTTAAGATCAGGCTTTCGACTATAATGTAATGTTGAATGGCTTTAATTACTCATTTTATCCCTAGAAAATAAATAAATAAATAAGTTTTATTTAATAGAGGCTTTGGCTTCATTCATAGTACTTAGCAAAAAAGATGCCATTAAAAATTTTTTTTTTATATTATATATTTAAAATACTGCCTTTATGTTTTTTCCACGTTAATTTGGAGATCCAATGAGAAAATATGTTTATGATTACAAATTTTGGGTGTGTATTTTTTTTTTAATCGAATGACAGCTCTAGTTTCATCTCAGCTCTAGTGATTCATTGTGTGGTTTAGTTTTAATCACAAAACTCTTTGAACCAAACCAAAAACACATTCACAAAAATACATTCGGAGCCTAGGCCCCTAAAAAACTCCGGTCACAATTGTGCCACCTGTGTTGCCAAGAAAGCTCTGCAGTTTAACTGTTATATTGGAATGCAGATCCACTGCCAAGCACCTGTAAGCACAACTGAGATTACACCAAAACACAATGTCTCCAAGGACATAATCTTTACAATACACACACATACAATTGTACACTGTACATTTATATACACACACAGACCTCAAAGAAATCAATTCAAAAAAGAATACAATACAAAATCCTACAGTATCAGTGTATACTGTGAGGTGAACAAAGAGAATATGTGAAATGTTTCACTGCTTTAAAAAAAAAAAAACTGTTTCCAACAGCACTAAGGATACATCCTAAAATACCTGTAACTCAAAACTGCTATTTCGAAGCGCTAGGATTATCAGTTCATTAAATTACTGTATGTAAAAAATCCTCTTTTAAAAGGCAGAGCTCTAAATGCACTTTTGCATAGATGTGTAAAAGCAACATGAAGCAAAACTAACCTCTTTAAAATGTACTGATTATCTATAAATTTTAAAGAGGTTAGTTTTGCTTCATGTTGCTTTTACACATCTATGCAAAAGTGCATTTAGAGCTCTGCCTTTTAAAAGAGGATTTTTTACATACAGTAATTTAATGAACTGATAATCCTAGCGCTTCATTTATACAGATGCTAAATGTGAACATATGACTGTTTCTGAAATGTTCCTATAAAATGTCAGTATGCACAAAAATGTAAATGCATCTTTCTTTATAAATCGCAATTCATCCAAAATTCAAGCGCAATTTGTACAAATGCATCACCTCCACCTACAGAACACTCACAAATATCTCTTTATCATTCAGAAGTCAACATTCATCATTAATGGGCAAGGAAATTCAAGTGTGCTTTCGGAAAATGTTTATCCAGTCGGCATATATTA